AAGGAAGGAAGGAAGGAAGGAAGGAAGGAAGGAAGGAAGGAAGGAAGGAAGGAAGGAAGGTCTTAATGGAAGAGATTGCACAAATGAGAAGAAAAAATATGGAGATAAGGTGTGTAGTTACACCTCTGAGGGGTAAAATTACTATCTCTCTGAATGGTAAGATGTGGAGGCACACTGAAGTCACAGTCACTGCTGACCATGACACATAAAATATTCAGAGGCCTTTGCAGGTTCCCTGAATACTGTGAGGGCTGGTTTCTGCTTCCCCTTGCAGAAGAGAATGTGAGAGCTCACACAGAAAGGCCTGTTTAATTTTGTTTTCTGACATTGAATGTTGGCTTCTAGGAGAAATAACATGCCAGGATAAATTTAGAAAGCAGGCAAGTGAAACCTAGGGCATGCTTAGACATGATGAGTGCCCCTAGCCATAGTTGATCCTGGATGGCAAAGCATATGGAGAACCTGAGAAATCAAAGAACACATAATAAGTTATGTCTCTAATTAGCAGGCATGGCAGAATGTCCCAAATAAATGGAAAAACTATGTAAAACTGCATATGCAACTATCCATTTGCCTATGCAGTTACTCATACTCTATTCAAAGGTCTGTGCACACCTCTACCTGTTAATCCTTAGCTGGAATATAGATAACAATATCAATGTATCATACACACCATGAATAGAAGAACGAAGACATCAAGTCATCAAGTGACATGTGAGTCACTTGTTTTATTTCTCTTCTGACAATTGATACCAAACTTTTGTGAATGTATGAGTTTTGCTGAAAGGCACGAGAGCAATGTCTCAGAAAACTGTGTGAGTAATTCAGCCAGCAAGACTGCATACATTTTGCTTGTAAGAAATTCCAACTCTGTTTTACTAAAATGCTTTAATGCATGTAAGTGCTGACTATATTTCTATTCACCCCATAGCCAATCCGTGTATTGCTCAGAGCAAATATTTGTGAAGACAAAAAATATCATAAGAATTAAATTCCATACCTTTTTTTGGTAATAATTTGTGAATTATTTGAAACTTCTTTATATGTGATTGCCATGATTACCAAATCAATACTAATCTTGCATTAATTATTTCTCTCTATTGGCTGGTTTGTGACATTCCTACACATTCTTGGAATGATATTTATATGAGGAAAAGTTATGTGACTTTATTTGGTCTCATCTAATTTCATTTTAACCTTAATCTTTTAATAATGCTATTGTGTTAAACAATCATGAACTGATTTCTGAGTAAAACACTTTAAAATAGTACTGAATAGGTTGATAAGGAATGACTAATGTATGTCTTTGTGTCTTTATGCCTGGAACAATTAAATATTCTGGGAATTACAATATGGAGAAAAAAGGAGTATGACAGAGCTCTCTGAAACCCAGAGAGGTACAGAGCAGATAACAGCAAACAATTTTACACTTTAAGAATATAACAGTGAAGAAAAGCCAAATAAAACTATCAGGGAGTCAGTTCAAAGGATATGTATATAACAAATAGACTGCATATTTAAAGGATGTTATGGGTGGTATGATTCTATATGGCTTTAAAGACATTATTCTACAAATCCACAGAAAAAATCAGAAAAAGCCTATTGAATATATATGTATTGCATATATACAATATCCAACAAATGTAATTTGCTATGGTCAGAGAAAGTATCATTGCCTGTTTGCCAGTATACGTCTTTCACAAAAGAGCTACTACACTGCTTTTAGCTATGATCCATGATGGTATTGCCAGTGTCATGCCATTAACAATAAATATTAAAAAAAAATCTTCAAAGCAAACAAGACAGATTCTGACCTCATAAACATTCTGTAATTTTCCTTCAAGGTCAGGTCTGGGTTCCTAACTATTCCTTCATTCTTTTATGAACTTTGAGTAGTGCCATGAGAAAAGTATGCAGGGGTACCACAAGATACTTGAGCAGTTGAACAGAACTCCTCCTACAGTAATGAGACCTATTGCTTGTTCATTTAAACCCCTTGTTTGGCTTACACTTGAGAAATAAGCCAGCACAGAGATTTAAATAAATTAATGATTACACCTTTTAATAAACTTTAAGGCCACACTTTTCAGAGTGGTCAGGAGCCAAAAGAAGGCCCCACTTTCCAATAACACTGTTCTCAACAGAACACCATGTTTCCCAGAGGGTTAAACGCCCAGTGCTCTTTTAGATCTCTTGAATATTCACCCCAGAAGGTGCATGTGTTCATTTTCTCAGTGACTTCAAATAAACAAGAGCTGAAAATAAAACCACACTTGAGAACAGAGGGTGTCACAGTGTAGTTTTTGTACAGCACTCATGAATTGTATTTGCTTGTGTCTGTGATCAACATTGAGTTCAAAGGGCCCACAGTTTTAAAATGTCTGGCTGGACAGAAAAATCTATATTGTTATTTCTAAAACTTGTCTGTAAGAGATGTTATCAACTCACTGCTAGATAAACAAAAGACAGTCCCATGTCTGTAACACAATGGGTGCCCTCCAAACCAGCCAGCAAGGCCAGTTCACTTACTGCAGTTAAGGGAAAGGCTTTCTTTTGCTCTTCCTGACACCACCTCACCCCCGTCTCTGGGCAGATTTAAGAAATGATTGCAGCTGTACATGTAAACATTTGTGTGTGCAGTCTGACTACAGTAAATGACTGGATGAGAGACACAAGTTATCTAATACAATAATCTGCCCTTGAGATAGCCACAGGATATATATCTGAGAGAAGAAACCCCCTGAGTAGATAAATATGGAAATAGAGGATAATCTTCTTCCATAAAGATTGAATTTTAAACCCCAGGAGTTAGAATTTGCTTTAAAGCCTGAAACATGAGTTTTGATATCTATCTCATTACTCTTTTTTTTCTTTTTGTCAAGCATTGGTTATTACATCTGGGGATTATTGACTGCATGACATGCAGAATTCCTTCTTGTCTTGATAAATTCATGACCTTGGGGATGCCTTGTCAATTCACTGCATTAATTTTTTTTTTTTTTTTTTTTAATAGGCATATGGTTCAAGGAATAGAAATTCAGATTTGTTATGTGACTTTAAAAAAATCTTCAAATTCTATAGTGAAAATTTATGGTTGTTGCTAAGCGTTTCAGCACCTTGTCAAAATCTGTAGTAAAAGTATACAGTTATGGTTTTGGGGTCCATTTGTGCCATGAATGCATTTTCCTATCTCCCACTACAATGAGTAAATATTAGAAACGGGAATAACAGATAGAGAAAAAAATATATAAAAATATGACATGGTATTTGTGCAAAGATAAAGATCTGCTGTTAATCGTTTTGTTGTAAGCACTTGGAGAAACTCAGTTCTTCAAAAATATTGAAAAATTTTCTGGATATAACCTTCCATTAAATATTTCCTTTCCTAAATCTTTCAAGGACTAACTCATAAAATAAGTAATAATATAAATTATATATTAGAGATATATTATAATTAATTATAATAATCATATTAATTATATACTATATCATTTTAATTTATTATTGATAATTTATTATAATTAACACTAATTATTACATATTATAATATATATAATATTATATATAAATAATAAAAAGTAATATTTAATGTATTCTTTCAAGGAGTTCTTTTACACATATGCAACACTTATTAAGATAGGTGCAAAAGGAAGGTATGTTAGTCTGATAAAATTTTTTAGCAGGAAAGGTATAAGTAGAAAAATGTATGTTTCAAAAAACAAGGCCACTGACCTATGAATATGTATGACTTAAGAACCACCAGCATGAGATTAGATCTTCTCTTAAAACATCCTTTAATCTAACTACCTATATAGCAATCGTGACAAGGAGATCTTGGTTACACGTATTTTGACCAGACTGCACTTTTACCACACATATTTTTAAAAACAATAACAAATCCATGCCCATAATTTATGATTCCCTGTACATAAATTGACCTCTAACAATGCCAGAGTTTGATTTACACATCTGCTGAGCTTACTATCCAGAGATCAGAAAATTTGAAGGAAAAAAGAGGCTGCGTAGTAGTACTAAAATGATGCTCTTGAGATTTTCCATTAAAGTTTGGCCAGTGTCAGTTCAAAAACATTTCATGGTATGAAAAGATAACACTATTGTGTAGAAACAGAAACAGCAAAGGTGCTCACAGCTTGGCAATTTTCTGTGTGTACAGAATTTGCTTCCCAGAGGGAGACTTTATGAAACAAGTTCATATCTACAGTTCTGTGAATGCGCAGTCGATCAGTGGATGAAGTGTTAGCAGTGGGAGTTGAGTGGGTCAGCAGCACATTTCTGATTTGGATTATTGGTATTGCTAATCATAACCCAAATCTACTCAAGTTGCAAAAAGGTCTAGTAAGCTTTTTCTGCAATTTCTCTCTTTTTTTTTTTTTAATTTCCTTTTCGTTTTCCCTTTTCCTTTTTTTTTCTTTCTTATTTACTTTTATTTACTTGTTTCCTTGCTCCATATCAGAAAAGGCTGTAGAAATAAAAGGGAAGCAGTGTGTGACTATTCCTTTACAATGAGTGTGTCATGTATTTACAAGTACGGTAGCAATTAATGAAATTAATTTGTGCGTTCTCACAAGCAATCACAAATCTTTTGATGTGTCTTTTCTTACCAAGTTGCTCTGCTAAATGTTTTCCCCTCTCAGTGAAGATTACCCGCTCATCCTCCATGTCACACTTGTTGCCAACCAAAATAACCTGGGCATTATCCCAAGAGTACGTTTTGATTTGAGTTGACCTTAAAAGAGAAAGGGAGAGAGAGGAGTCAAAGCAAAGCAAATTCCCCTTAAGTCAATTTCAAACATAGTTGCAAAAAGGCAAAAGAGACAATACTTACTTTGACAACTAGGATAACATGATTCTGTTTAATCACAGATTTCAAATAAACTAAGCACTATCTGTCAGGTATTATTATTACAAAGACAATATCAACACAGGTTTTACTTCTGCTTGCTAAGAGTACTATTTTACCCTGCCATCTACATTCTTTCTATACTTTTAGAAAGAAGAGATGGCTTTCTCTCATTCTCACATTTTGATACAAAGCTTATAATCCGAAAACAGCTCTGAAAGAAAATCAGCAACATATTCATTTCTTATCTCTTACTTTATGATCAGAATGTAAATTTAGCAGCAAAACTTAAAAAAATTTCAGAGCTAGTCTGTCCTCCTTCTGCTGTTTCTCTCCAGCACATTCCTCTGCAGGTCTTTGATCTACCTTTTTTTAATGCAGTTGTGCATTAAACCATGGGAAGGGGCTGAGTTTGAACTCTGATTCTCCTTCCATTTAAATTATACAAGACTTAACCATAACTGCAGCTGAATGGAAGTACCTCAGGCCTTGAAACACCATAAGGAACGTGAGTCCTGGTGGTAAAACAGCTTACAATGCTCTCTTTGAATGTGAGCAGATAATGGGTGACTTAGAACCATACTCATGGTACCTCTCAGTTGCTGCCTGCCACTATTCTCAGATCTGCTCTGCAGAAAGAAAGCTGGTTACCACCTTCTGACTGGGAGCAGCACCTACCCTTGAAGGTAACACAGGATGCAGGAAACTTACTCCAAGCACTTATGCTTTCTTTGTATTGGACTTGTGACTATGTCTGGCTCTAGGGTCATATTTTTTGCTGGGATATGGGTATCTCTTCTGTCTCCATAGGATCAGTGGAAAGAGAAAAACACAGAGAGAATGCCTCTTTCTGCCAGCCTTTCCCACATCATTTCCCCCTTCCCTTCCTCCCTCCTTCCTTGGACAGTACAGGGTGCTTAGGAAAATGGCAATAGAATAGAAACTAACTTTAGAATAGAAACTAACTTCTATAACTACACATTTATGGCAAGATGTCTTGGAAGCTGGTCTGCATAGGTACTGCATGGGTACATTCACTAGTGACCCCTTCTCATAACAAAGTCATCATTCTACATATTGAGGCCCTGCCTGCAAACTCCTCTGTTCAAAAAAAAGATCATGATCTACTCTGACAATGGATTCTAGTGAAAGACAGAAAATGGATCAAATCTCTCCAACTAGCTTTGCTTACTGGAAAACCAGAGGGATGGCCATGGGCAAAAACTTCTATAGCTATCATTGTGACCCTGGGTCCAATGCCATTGCCTACAGGTTCCCTGCATGAGTCAATGAACCTCTAGGCCATGTCTGATGGGTTTGCAGTGCCAAGCAGAGAAATTTAAAGAGAAGGATCACTGCCTTTAGGAATGTTTCACTTTATCACAGTGACCAAAAAGAACATGATGCAAGTAAGTCCCAGACATTTTGTGCTACAGATTGTTCCCTTGGGCCTGTCCTGATCTTTTCTTCAAGAAGTGGACACTGTGCTATTTTAAATCTGTTTTAATAGTAATTTGAGTAGGTGTAAGGTACTGTGATCAAAGAGAAGTCAGAGTTGCCCATACACTTATATTTTACTAAAGATACCATTTCTCAGAATAAAAGGACAACATGCATTCACTTTGGCAGAAATATCCTTTTGGAATCATGCTGAGTGGTTAAGCAAAGTGGTATTATTATTGTGTTTTTTAACCAGAACTACATTTGTCACCACAGCAACTTTGCAAGTATGAGTACTTCAAATGTCAGAGTATGTTAGTCCATTAAGGACTCTCAAAGGGCTTAGCTCTGAACAATTATTAGTTGGGAGCCAATTTACTCCCCTTATGTCAGCAGGAAATCAAATACATTTCAAAAGCAAAATATACAGTAAAGATATTAAGCTTTACAGAAGGAATTACTTACATAATCTGTAAAGTTGAAATAAACTGGTAAAGAAATACAGCCTGAAGAAATATCATCACACAACCCTAAAGAACATTCATTCAGCCATGTTTTGCAGACTGCTTCTAGAACTTTACACAAGTTTCTTTCATTAACAATATAAGGTCCCTTCATTTTACTGCAGCCAGATGTGATTTTTTTTTTATTCTACAACTACAAATGTCAGCATTCAAATTCTTCTCATTACCAAACCGACTTATTTTATCCATAGACATTTTTTAATCTGTCTTGCTTTTGTCTCATCTTCTAGTTATATTTTTTTAAGTAACAAGAAGAGATCTTACAAACAAACCCACAGGTTTACATTTTGCAAAAGACTCTGTAGTGCAAAAATATAACTGTCTGAAAATTACTCAAATGTATTCACACCAAACACCACACCAGCAGAAGCTTGATTCAAAGGATATAATGGGCTTATCACTGATATGTTTTCTTTTAGACATATGGTATCACTATTGGCTTCTGTAGGTTTTGATTACCACAACTCTCCACTAAAGCAAACACCTAGGTTACTTGGAAAAAAGTTTTGCTTGCATATATGGCCTATGAGACTTGTGATTAATCCAAAACACAAACAATGGTCCTTGTAAGAACTTCAGCCTCAGGAAGACTGAAGACATGAAAAGGCAAAGATGATGTTTGCAGTAAGCTGAAAAGGACAGTTCTTGTTCACTCTCAGCGACTTGGTGTATGTCAATAGTAATTCACCCTGTAAATCTTTCCCTTTCTAGTTTTATGGTAGGCAGGCAATCTGCACCATGCTTGAATTTTTATCATGTATAGACTCCAGAGGGGCAGATTAATGGAGGAGTGCAATGATCCATTACTTTACATGATCAACACCATGCTTTTTCTCCCTGTACTGCAATTCTACCCTATCCCTTGTTAGAAAAGAGCACTTGCTGAATGCAAATAAAAGCAATTCTATTGGCTTATCTTAAAATGGTGACATCTTCAAAGAACTTCCCAGGCAATAGTGGCAGGGGGCCTGTGTGTGCTCTTGGTCAGCTTGCACGGAATTCTGCACAGTGTGACAGAGTGGGGTTAAGGAACACACAGCCCCAGCTGGCTGAGGCAGCTGAGATGCTGGAAGCCAAGGTAGATAGCACAGAGCAATATGGGGGAGCTGCTCTTGATGTTACTGCTGTGGAGACCAGACTGTGCACATTAGATCTGGTGATAAAAGCTTATCTGTACATCCAAAACAAGCACAGAGAGATTATGGCAAGAGAGAGAGAGCCCAAATATTATCCTGGCACTGGCTGTTCTCAGGCCTATTGCAGGAAACATCAGATTATCCAAAGCCTATGTCTACTAGCCTGGTGGAGCAGGAGTGCACTAAAGAAGGTTACCAAATTAAGACTTAGAAAAAGACCTGGACACCACATCCAGTTCCCTTCCAGGGTTGTTCTAAGAAAGTCCCATTCCCACTGTACAACATGAAATCCATCCCTTCAAGTCAACACTGGAGGCTTATTCTGGCCCAGCTGCCAGAAACTGAGGAGACTGGGATCCAGGGGCAGCTACTGGGATCCAGGGGCAGGTGGAGTTTATGGGCACAGGTGATGGAGGGAGCCACAATGTGTACATCTGCACAGACACATATTCTCATGAGTGGACCTTGATGCTGCGCTGCTTCAGGGGAGCAGTGTAAGGATGATGATGCACTTGGTGTTTGTGGGAGTGCTCTGGATGGTCCTGGGTGTTTTGGCTGCAATAAGTGTGTATATGGTCATGTGTACATGCATATATTTGTGTTGTAACTTTTTGAGTTATGTGTACATGGCCTGCTGGGAGTAGATCTTCAGCCTAACTACTGGTTAGATCTCGGGTACAGAGCTGCAGCAGCCTCTCTCCTCTTAGTCAGATCCAGCAGGATATATTTTCCCCTGAGTTCAGGCTTAATTTGGCTGTGCCTGGGTAACACTGCACTGCATCCTGGAGAAACTCCTACAGAAGACAAACCTATTTGCTGCATTCAATATATTTCAGGTTGTACCCACTGCTGGCATACCTTGAGTTTACTCCGAATATCTCTTCAGATGATCCCTTTTAACTAAAAATCATCTATGTCCAGGAAAAATATTCAAATAACCTGCAATAATCTCTAGAATATTTCTACCCACAGACTGCATGGAAGGCAAGCAAATATACCTAGTAAAGACATGTCCATAGGGTAAGCATACCAGGAATATGAACTGTTACAGACAGTCTCAATCTATTCTCCACTCTTTGGACTTCCAAAGTCCTCCAAGGATACTTCCCTACCATAGAGAGGCTTGTTTCTACAGGCTTTTTAGATTAATTATGTAGTAAGCCACATGCACAAACAGCAAGAGAAGCACCCTAACAAAAATGCTCCAGAGGGGGCTATGTAAAATATTTATTCCAGCAAGTTTGGGAAACATGTACTTCTTATATTTTGATTCATGAAAGGAGTACTCAATGAACTAGGGTGCATCATCTTGCCAGAGAAAAAAAAAAATTTAAATCTAAACCTATGGAAAAAACTTCATACAAACCAAAACCAAATTAAAGAAACCTCTAGCAAATTGGGGAGAGCGGTGTGTGTGTGTATGTTAAAGTTACTGTTATACTGAGTCCACTGATTAACACTTAAAATTCTCCCATCTCTGTCTACAGCATGGTGACTGCAAACTCCATTAGCTGAATTATTTGAGGTCACAGTGCAGTGGTGGGATCTGAGGTGGAGCCCATGTTATCTATTCTTTCTGTTTATTTGGTGAGAGACAGTATTAGAGAAGCAATTGTGAGTTTAAAAAGGTTTCCAAAAGTTTTTGGTGTTCCCAGATGAACGTCCTGTCTTTATTTGCTAGTGTGCCAAGTGTCCATGCCTCTATGAGCAGGAAGGGTTGCTCTCCAGCTTTGTCAGGAGACATCATTTTCCTTCTGTAATTGAAGCAAGGAAAGGTCTCTTTCCC